CCATAACCACTTGATTTGATTCCCCCCTTATAATGTAGACCAAAGAATCCACTCTCAGGCTTTAAAACTTCTGGATCTCATTTGCTATATATAAATTAGCTGCCAAAGCATGACTGAAAAAGGTATTTAAAGTGACAATAGACAAAGGAAGGGAGGACAATCAAAAGCACAGATTACTTAAATTTTACAGCAGTTGCATTCCTGACGTTTGCAATAGTCCTGCCTTGACCTCTACTTGGACACCAGCATGACGATACTTTCTTCATTGCTGAGATTAAGGCATTTATGGTCAAGGTCATATCATATTTTATTTAAACACACTGCAGAAGGACATTAAATTTTACAGGTCAGATTCACCATGGTACTCGAGCAAAGCTGAGGCTGCAGGGCAGAGCAAACAGCCAGCTCATGTGAGAGGTGTCAAGGTGCAACTTCCCTTCATGGGCCCAGAATAAACATCCTCATCTATCTTATGGCCAGACAGGTCTCTCAGCCCAACATAGCCTCTCCCCACCTGGATCTTAGAGGGATGGCAGGGGCAACAGTACTGCATCAACCAGCACCATTGTTTAACAGACCTGAGTCCTGAGGTGAGACAAAGTCCTGTTTTACCAACAGTAGCAAAAGGAGACAGCAGCTCTGCTAGCTGTTACCAGGGTTTTGCTCTCTTGAGGGCTCCTTCTCTTAGATGGAGGTCCCCACCTGCCATTCAGAAGCACCTTTAAGTCACCTTGGGCCTAAACACTGCAATTGTATGGAAGGGTACTAAAGCAAGTTTCAGTGAGTCAACCTCAGCACAGGGATACCAAACCATCACCACACGCCCTCCCTGGCCACAGCACATTACCTGCACCTCACTAGCAGCAATCATTTCAACCAAGTGATGCATGTATTTCAATTGTACCTATGAACACAAATATCAAATAAGGTCCTGAAATGACCTAAGGCACCTGAAAGGACTGCAATCAGTGAAGTCTCCCTATTGCTCTGCCAGTAAGAATAGATATCTCCTGCAAATGTTACAGCCCTGAGAACACACTTGATCTTCCAGGCATCAGTGTTTTTATTTTTGACTGTACAGCTATGAGCCTTTGCCAAAAGGAGAAGCTCAGCTCTCCCTGCTGTAGACAGAGAAACAACACTGACACACAGATAGATGAATGCTAGGAGGGCAACAGGATCCACTTCATTTTATCTGGGGCAATCTTTCAGCCATATAATGAAATAAAAATCTCTTGGGGACCTTAGATCAAAATGCTTTTTGGTCTAGCAACCACGACTCCCCCTCAGGCTCCACGTGGGTTACGGGTTTAATCTCATCTTCCTGCAAGCACACCGTCAGGAGCAGGGCCACCCTTGACTCCATCTGCTGCTCCATGGCTGCAGGCTCAGGCAAAGCAGAACTCAGCTGTGTATGCCTACTAGGGCTCTAATGCTGGGAATAGAAGTGGAACACACAACCAAGGTAACCTAGTCTAGAGAAAGACAACTCACTACCACTATTACCCCTGCCCCCTTTCACAGCCCCAAATGCACCAGTGACAAGTAGTCAGACTTTTCCCAATGAAAGAGTGACTGTATGTCCATTACCTTTACCCTTAACTCTGCATAAACTGTAGAAAGACTTTTCCCAATGAAAGAGTGACTGTACGCCCATGATCTTTACCCTTATCTCTGCATAAACTGTAGAAATGTCTGTACCTGAATCTAAGGTTATTGATATCATGGTGGACAGGGATGTCTTCCACAAAAGTAACCACAATGCTAATATTGTATAGCAGGATGGAGGTCTGAACTGGGCTCCTGTTACTTAATGCAACTTTCTGAAGTCAGATTTAACTTTCTGGATTTTTTCTTGTGGCTGGTGCTGATGGTTACCCAAAGCATGAAGCTTAACATGTAATCCACATGAGAAGGAAGCCTTTCCTCCATCCCCTTCTGTTCTCACCCTGTTTCCTTTCAGGGCATTTCTACAACATAAACACAGAACAGCTCCCTCAGTTTCAGTGACTTGAGACATAAAAAGCAGGAAAATTTCCCTAATCCCAATATCTCAGTGAGGTGTTATCTCTTGTCTTTTCTATACACTACTTTTCAGAGCATATGTGCTTTACAGCACTCCAGCACCCACAAAGGAGAAAATGTTGTCCTCAGCTATGGAAGTATCCAGGCCCTTTTTTGGAAGTCAGGATCTGATATAGAAGATTATTAAATACTACACATACAACTACTCTTTAATTCCACAAGTCTTCCATTCACCACTGCTTACATCCAAAGCAAGTCTGTACCTCCCCATGTGCACATCCCAATGTGCAGTTACACAGCGACCCCTCCTCGTAAGTGTTGCCAGCAAATTTGTGAAAATAGAGAAGTCAACTTCATACCTGCCTTCCTACAAGAGATAAGGCACAGGGTCTCACACCTGTCAAGACACTGAATTCATTAGTTTCTAATAATCAGAGGCTTTCCTCCATACTTAATCAGGCATTTGTGTATGTTCTTACCAGTGACAGAGGCAGTCGCTCAGCTCTCACTGTTGGGTCACTGCCAGCAATCTTCCACCAAGCTGGGAAGGTGTTATATGTTAAGAAGTGGCAGGAAAGGGAGGGAAATCAGTTTGTGTGCATTTTCAACACACAAATGCTAGTAAATGTAAAGAATCCAAATGCTAGTAAAGCATACACCAGTGCTAGTAAAGTAGAGAATCCAAACTTCACCTCCCACCCCTTCTTGCTCTGCTGCAGATCGTGATGGCAGTTACCTCACCTGGATGCTTTCTATGGCTCCACCTTTCCCATCGTTCAGGTCAAATAGCTGAGCTCCCTGTACATCACCCAAAGCTCTTTTGTGTCACTTACATGATGTCACTGATGTCATCGCAGTAACAATCAACCCTGAAGCACAATGCAATGATTGTTACTCCAACTCACATTCACAGCACATTTGTTCCAGCAGGCTTGAAAATAAGAGGATGAGGCAGGCTAGGTTTTCCTGCTCAGTAGGTTTTTGCTCCAATCTAATTAAAAACATTCAGCAGTTCAGTGAAGTTCCTAGAGAACTGCACATGCAACCACACTTTAAGCTCTGAAAGCAAACAGTCTTTTTTTCTAATGCACTCCCCAGATGGAGAGGTTTCCTCAGAAGTTTCTTTGTGATATTATACTGAAACTGCTGAACCAGAAAAGTTGAGCTGCTTCTGAGCTATCTTGGTCTTGTTGTTATTGCTAATGGTTTTCTTCATCTAAAAGCGAACAAGGAAAGCCACTGCTGGTTCTCTGACATGCAGAGAAGTGACAGTACAGCTCACTAGAAACAGGCAGCTGTGGTCACCTTGGTCTGAAACTGGGTCAGAGATGCCAGCTCACAGTTATATGGGAGAAATACACAAGTAATATTGGGGATTCAGAGGCTGAGGACAAGATCATCCTTTTCTTGCTGGTAGAACTCAGGTAATACAGCTTTAACAGCTCTGAAAAGGCAGCTTCCTCACAACAAAAGGTATGTTTCATGTACAGTTTTTGGTAACTTTTCCTCATTTCTGGGAAAAGTGTCAGGGAATCTATGTGAACAGTCGAGCCAAGCCCTGCACTGCTACACCACCTTAATGCAAAAGAGAGTCATCAGTGGGAGATTGCCACTACTGTGCATTGTGCTGCTTCTTGTGGAAGAATGTGTGCTGATGGAAGGTCAACCCAGCTCCAAACAATGTTAAGATCACTGGACAAGTTCAGTGGGAAAGACTACACAGTCTAAACGTATTCTGCTTGTAACTCCATCCCTGATACTGAAAACAGACCTTTTGCCAGCTGAAGCCATTTTGACCTGGGGAGCTGCAGCAGCAGAGCATGTCATGCACAATGTGACATTCTTGCCATCAAACAGGTGCTAAAGGATCCTTTGGACTAGCTAGCTATGACATCACCAGCTTCCAAACTCAGACGTTCTCAGGAACTGTCCCTAAATGCCTTGAAAAATGCCTGTCCTCATCTCCAGAAACAAGAGTGCCCTTAAGCTGTACAGCCGAGAATAAATTCCTTCAGGGCTGTAACAACCAATTAAGGGATATGAAGCAATTACTTTTATATCCATACAAATGAAACTTCTCCAATGCAATTAACAATCCCTTATCATCTACTGCTGAATTTGTGGAAACCATATGCTGTACACTCTCTCCTCCCCCAACTTTCCCACAATTTTAAGCAGTTTGTTTTAGCTAATGTAATGAAATCTACCTATTCAAGAGAAATAAGAGACGTGCGCACATTATCTGAGTATTTTTAAATGTCCTTTTTAATTTTAAATATAATTTCATTTGAGGTTTTGCAGCTTCCATTTCTATTAATAAATTATCATTTCTTCGTTATAAGTGATGAGCTAGTATGTCATGTAATTTCTTTCGTCTAAATAGACGAAGACTTTGATCTAATACAAGCCCTTGCTGGGAGTAGAGAGACTTTCTGTCTAATTTAGTTACAAAAAATATTCAATTAAACTTGGGAATTTAATTCATTTAGTTATGAAAATTAGATGAGCTCAATAAGGTACTTTTGATTTGCCTTAAGGAAAAAAGAAAAAAAAACCAAACCAAAAAAAGGAGAAGAATATCTGAAAGGGAAACAAATATGAATGGAGAACAAAAGTAGCTTTTCCTGCTCATGTTGAAAGGTGGATAATACGAAGAGTCTGAGTTCCATTTTGTGTGCCTAGATAAAACACAGCCACAATGAGTTCATGCAAATTACATATCCAAGAGATACACCAACAGCTGATATTAACATCCTAATTGTCTCTTGGGTAACAAAAGTCCATGTAGGTCATAATTGAGTCCAACCCAATCAAGGGATATCTGATTCCTCACAACAGGATTACACCATCTATACACAACTCCATCTCCATTGGAGGAAAAAGACAAAATATCTGAATAATTTTTCAAAAGCAGAACGGAGCACCACAGATCTCTCTGACAGAGGCCTCCTCCTAGTTTTGCAGCCAGCACTCACCATTTTTGCAGATGGGACAGCACTGGTCGGGCTCATACACGGGATCCACGCACTCGGTCTGGGGACAGGCTGACACCGTGCACAGCACTTCGCCATTGCCTTCACAGCGACACCTCTCACACGGAGAAACCTGAAACACAAACCCAGTCACCCTTTAACTCCTCCACTTAATGCACTCCTGGAGTGTGCAGGGCCCCCCTTCTCATCTGAAATGTGCTTTCCTTCACATCTTTTTCCTCCCCACTCTAAAACAAATGGGTTTTGTGGCCTAAATAATGCAGAGAGCAAGACTGGGCTCCTGCAAGATTATAGAACCACAGCAGGAAAAGAAAATCAAAACAAAACAGGTTCTTCTTTGAACCTACATACCAAATGGAAAAGTCAGAGGGATGTTGAAAATAACAACAGTGATGACTCTTAATACAAATTAAACAAAAATTACCTTACTAAATTTCTAATGAACTTTCTGAAAATTAAGTTCATAATCTAGTTTAGTTCTATTAGATGTTCAAAAATAATTTACAGGAAAAAAAAATGTATTTTAAAAAGAAAAGCTTTGCTAAATGAAGTTTGAAACTTCTTTTAATGGAAATCCTTACTGTAATTTTTTCAGGTTTGAAAGTATTTTGGTAGCAGGAAGTCACATTTTATTGAAAATTATATTTTTCAAAGAGAAGTCAGGAAAAACCCCCATCTTTTTGAACTCAGGTATTTCCCATAGGTTAATTGTTTCTGGACAATTCTTCTAGGACTTGTAACTTTCTGAAAGGAAGTTGAAATTCAAAGAAAGGGGTGAAGGAAAATACTGGTAAACCTTTATACCTAGTGAAATGTTACTGCATTTGAAGAACTCTTACAGAATTGGAACACCATGAGATAGTTACTTGAAAGACCTACTTCAAAGAAATTAATTCCCAACAAAAGAGTAGCAAGACTCTCTTTAGTAAAAAACGGACTTTGACATGTCTGCATTTGCCACATGTACAATTCCAGCTGTCCTCCTCGGCATTCCTGATCAGGCACACCTCACTTGCATTGCTGATATCCTCATACCACACAAGATAGAGGGAAGCAAGGATGTGAAGAGCAATAAATGCTACACTGTAAATCTCATTGGTGCATTCCAAAAAACCACATGGGTTCCCATGCCCAGAACACAGGATGAAAATGCAGCTGAACGTTATTATTAGTGATCCTCCAAATCTGCAATCTGTGCAGATTACTGATTTACTTTTTAAGGAGGTGGTTGTTCTTTCTATGGACCATTTTTCACTCCAGATTCCAGATGATGCAGACAATCCCCCATTTCACTTCTCCAATAAGAGCAGAAAAAAATGAAACCTAAAAAAGAAAATAATTATTCGCTTTGAAGAATCACCCAGATGTCTAACTTGCAGATCATCTGCTTCTTCTCCCTATTTTTCAGGCAGCCTATCACTTCTTTTTCCTCAAATCCATTCTCTGCTTGCCTCTCACATCCTTGTCACTTCCAAAGTTCAAACATGCTGATGCTTGAATAGCATAATCTCCAACTAAATGCTCATTCATGCTTTGCTACTTCCCTTCCCACCTGCCAAGGCTGTTATTCCCTTATGCGCTCAGATTTCTTTCACGCCCTTCCCTCTGCTTAGAAAGCCTAAATAGGGTCTCCTGCAGTGTTGCTTTCTGCTTTATTACTATTATTTATTTCAGGTTTTCTTTGCTGGCTACTCACTTTGCATTTTCTCTTTGCTTTACACTCTTACCAAGGATAACACCACGCATATGTTTAAGAAATCCCAAACAGAGGCTGACAGTCCAGTGCAGAAAATCTTTACTGCAGACTTTGGGACAACTTCGTCCTGTAATTGTTTTTAAACTGTCACATTCATTTCCAGACCTGGAGTGTCAGCAGATGAGGGGGTTTCTGATCCAATGCTCAGGTTATGTCAAGTAACCACTTGTACCACATGTGAACTTATGAGTGTCAGCAAACCTGAGCTCCTAAGTATTAAGTCAATAACAAGAATCCCTCCTTCTAGTGTTATATCTAGAAACAATACTCACCAAATTACAAAAACAGAGTTTTTAAGGAGGACTGATTTTCTTAATATTATTTTTAATATAAAAATATTATACAATATATAATCCTACTTGAAAAAAGATACTAGCACTCAGTTCCAAGGATCATGGTCAACAAGGTGAACCTACAGCTTTCAATCAAATTTAATACTTTTTGCCTTGACTTGGAAAAGATGCAAATTTGCCAACCATCAAAATTGAATGAGATCAGTAGCTACCACAACAGACTTCCTTAGTCCAAGACACTGCTTAGTAGCTGTGTCATGCAATATTGGAAGTGGTGTAAAAAAAGGCAACACACAGATGTTATTCCTAAAATCTCTCCTCTGTAAAATTTAAGCATATTCTAATTACGTGGGTTTACTAGATTTCCAATTTTGACAAAGGCTGAAATTCTCAGAAAAATAAGTAATTTACTATTGATTGAGAAACAAAACTGATCTAATTCTTATCTAATAATGATGATTCATGATACACATTTCTGTCCTATACAGCACATACACCTGTTAATGTGATACTGCAGTAATGAAGACACTTCTAGAGTAATAGATCATGGGGTTTCAGAAGAATACTTACAGCACACCTTGATAAGTACTGTCATCTGTACAACCCACCAACCCGAGTAATGGCAGCAGGAAGGAGGGTCTCCATGAGCTTATTTCTACAAAGCTCTTTTCAGGCATGCAAGTAAACCACAGTGGATGCTAAAATGGTGTCAGTGAGAGCCATTATCTGCTCATCTTTAGACTAAACAATAGCACATTGCTTTTTACTAATCATCAGGATACAGCAGAAACTGTAGAAAACCCCCACTTTCCGTACCTTAATGGCAGCTTAATACTTGGAGACATAATTATCACTAGGAAGACAATAAGACAGTGTCTGTATGTAACAGCAGCTAAATAAATCAGAATGAAAAGACACATTTGGTCCTTCACTTCCCCTCTCTACTCAGGCAATGCAAGCGCATTCCCTGCAGCACAGGTCCCAGTGGCCGTCACTGCAAGGAGCATCCCACTTGTTCCTGTGGGGAACGACCAGCCCAACAGCACTCACACTCAGCACTTCTGACATAACCAGGTTGGACTGGAAATAATATCAATCTCTCTCTAGCAACTAATGATACCACATCTCCATGGTCTGCAGATGAAGCTGTTAACTCTGTAGCAGCAGCAGTTCTGCCTATGAAAGAACTGCAGAAAGACAACAAGAGGCAACAGAAGCCTTGTGTATTCACCAGGCAGCCATAAAACCTGTAGAAAATAGACTACAGATGGCAAAAAACCCTAGCTCTTTAGTATTGTTTAAAGGGAAGTTTATGAGCAGTGCCTGAGTTGCAGGCACTGTAAAAGAGCAAATGAAATACTGTGTAAACTGCTACGTTTTCCATTAGTAGGGTGTGAAGAAAGCTTAGTAAGGGTAGTAGGTATATCCAGCAGCTTAATGTAAATTGTCATAATTAAGAAGTGACAAATCATTTGTAGTCCAAAGTAATTTGAGCTTTCCCCTACCAAATGTCCAACTTTAATAACAAACCAAAAAGACATCAAAACAAAACAAAAAAAAAAAGGATTAATAACAGATATACAAATCTACTATACAGATATACAATCTACATTTGGTTCCTTAAGCCTTGAAAACTTACTAAGTTAAAAAAAACCAACCAACCAACCAAACAGTCATAATCCCAAATTTCTTTTCTTTTGTGCTGGAATTTTTTACTAATATTTTCTTGCCACTGACACAACCCAGGAGAACATGAGTGGGGTTACACTGACAATAATAAACATACCAGCCATGCTTTTACTCCCCTGTGCTTCAAAATACCACTCATCTTTCGAAACTCATTTGGGTTTGCTGACTCTTAGATTTCCAAGTAACTTACCCACAAAACAAATACCATTTGTGGTATCAAGGAAATTCTAAAAGACACAAATCAACAAGTTTCAGAATCATAGGTCTTTTCCAAAACATTGCACTTCTGAAGATAATTCCTCATTCTTGTAAGATTTTATACATCAGCCTTCATTTTCAAATTTTAATTGGAAGATTTGGACCACATGCTTTAGAAATCTTCAGCTTCAGTGCAGAACTTTAACACCCATTGCATTTCACCAAATAAATATTTTGCTACCAGTTCCACTAATATGGATGTTGTGATCACACTGCTATTCTGCCCCACAATACCCACAAGTGACCAGAGTGGTGCTGATGGAAACAGCTTTATGAGACTTCATCCCTTCCGTATACCCAAGCTGTTTTTTGTGCTGATATCCATGTCCTTTCTGAAAACACAAAAATGCACGCATACATGCACACGCAAGCAAAGCATGAAGGATGGACTGCAAATCAAAGAAGAAACACATCAAACCTCAAATTCCCTGGCACACTCAGCTTCTGGCTCCAGTCAGGGCAATTGTTTGCCCTGTCAAGCAATATAGGAATTTTATATAAGTAGACTCACAAACTTGCATGCATAATTACACATCTATACATAAATGTTTGTACAAAAAATGTCACTTAAATGTTAGGAGGTCACCTTTTTCTTCCTTCAGTGATGTCTGGTACTCTTTGCCACAAATAGTAGGAGCAGACACATAGATCACATCACTATCCATTTATAACTCCTTCCCTGACCTTAATCAAGAGATAGCATGCTAGTAACCTAAGACCATCCACTTTAAACTCACAAAATTACCTTTGAAACTGTGCAGTTGCTTGTCTTTTGCAATTGCTTCCACTGAGCAGTAGCAACCTGACTACATCTGCACCTTGTGCTGCCAGACAACTCCTCTGATTGCAGTGGCCTGGGCAAACAGCCGCATTTACAACTTGTGATCACAGTATTGGAACCAATGCTGAATCTCAACCAAAAAACAAGGTTCTCACATAGGAAAATAATCAGGCTGCAGTTCCACAGCCTAATTGCATCAATAACTTTCCTTGCTTGCACTGAGCAGACATCCCTTCTCACTTGTGTTTCCAAAGCTGGGTAAAACAAAGCAGTAATGTTTCATTAGAGGAAGATATGAAGCCAAGGGCTAAAAGCTGAATGGTGTTAAAAAGAAAGCTGAAAACCAAAATATTTTCAGGACATTTCTATAAATGTCACTGTTCCACACTATTTTTACCAAGGCTGTCAGTCATATTCAAATGTACCAGGGAACATTAAGGTTGTACACTTACTACACATTTAACACAGTATTTTAGGCTTGCCTTACAGCCATTAATACAACACCACTACAGAAAAAGGCTAAGAAATGGAACTCTGTAGAAAAGAGTGAATGAAAAGCAGAGAGAAGCCTTTAGAACACTGACCTATGGAGAAGGTGTGGAGAAGCTTCATCTTTTGGCCGCTCCTCAAGAATTAAGTTTGCTGGGAAAGAAATGATCTCACAAGCCATCTCTGAAAAGGTCACACCAACCAGCTGCTGTTAAGGTAGCTGCTCCCTCTTAAGTAGAAAACTTCCGCCCTGAAGTTGAATGTAACCCTTGAGGATTACATGGAAAGAGGGAGGATACAATGTTTTCTGCCACACCTTGCAATTCACCAGTGCTCTGCGCATTACTGCCTGAGAAGAGCAAATGACAACACTCTTTCTTATTATGGAGAGAGTAGTTCTGCTCTGTAATTTCTTTTCTCTTAAACTGATGAACATGGAAAGACACTATGAACCAAAACTAAGTTTTCAGGAACATGCAAATACCAGGGAGCAAAGGTGACAACTTACTTTCAGCCTTTAAAAACACACTTTCTCCACCCTGAGAGGGGCTCAGCTTCCAGAACCTTGAATTATATTTCATACTCCCCTCAATATATTCAGCATGAAATTCTTCAGTGTATTCAGAAATGGGTTTTGGAACAGCACTGTATCGAACAGTCACTCACAAGACATTTCACAAGCCATTCTTAGAGCCTGTTCACAGGTCTCAATCACAACAAAAAACTAAATGGAAAAAGACAAGGTAAACAACCAGAAAACTGGCCCCGACTCCAAAACTTTTGAGTTCATTGTAACATCCTGCATTTTCAATGATAACATCCTTCCACAATAATGCTAAAAAGACCCTAGTCTGAAAGGATTTCCCTGAACATGAAGCTTTTCAAGTGCTTTCTTTAGGTATCACTGCAATCAAGACTGCAAACTATACTACTATTAAAAAGAAGGCCTATAGTCATTCACAGAAAGCAAACATTATGCAACCTTGGCAGCACTATTTAAATAGTTAATAAGAAAAAATAAATGACTTTTAAAAAAGAAGGGATAACCACAAACTGATTACTAGGAATAGAAGTCAGCCCACAAAACCCTGCTTGATCCCTGCAAGGTGGAAGTTTAACAGTTAATAGTTAAATAAGGAAACAAATGTATTGCTGAAAAATTCTCACAAAATCCATAACACCACTGAGTAGCATCCTTCCAAGTAGCATTTTTTACTGTAAATACCAAAGGAATTAATAAAGATCAGCACCCTCACTTAAAAATGTTAGACTACCATAGAGCAAGAAAGGTCATGTTTAAGGGGAATATTTTACAGGACTGCAGAAGTAATATTAGCACCAAAATGTGAAGAGGAGGGGGAGACACAGAACACCCCCTGAGAAAACAGTTAAAGACCATTAATACCACTTTAAACAAGAGAAAAACCCACAAAAAGACTTTTGGCTTCATTCCTTACCATGAACTCCTCCAGGGTCTGGTAGGTTTTCCCTCGGAACTCGCAGTAGTTCTTCCTCTCCTTGCACTGCGGGCAGCACTGCGTGGTGTCCACATGGATGCAGCGAGGGTGGAGCCTGGGGCACTCGGGCTGGATACATAGCGGGCCCTCCTCAGTGCACAGGCAGGGGCAGGCAGAGGGGCCCGGCGCAAACTTCTCCCCGATGGCATAGACGAAGCCGCTCTCGTCCACGCAGCCTTTCCCACGGTAGTCCGGATAGGCGTACTCCTCCGGAGGCTCGGGAGTGACGCTCGCAACAGATGCTGGGAGAGATGAGTCTTCAGCCACCTGAGGTTCCTCAGGAGCAGCATCCCTCTGTTCTTGCACTTGAATGCTCCCAGATTTACTGCTTGTCCCCTGGCTGTTCCAAGCCTGCTTTTGCTTAGTCCAAGACTCCTTGTTCGAGTAGTTCCTGTTTCCTTTGCTCTTCCAGTCCCTGCTACCCTCCTCCCTCCCGCTCCTGCCGATCTCATTCATTTTCCCTGGACCTGTCTGGCTGTCCCTTGTAGACGTGTGATCTCTCTTTTCCTGGCTCGCCTTTATCTCCTGTTTGTCTTGAGCCTTGGCCAGTTTTTGTACGGGAACGGTGGAGCTACAGAGGGCAACCATGAGGCAGCAGGTTACGAGAAGAGAACTAGAGAAAGCTCCAATTGCCATTGCAGTAGAGCTGGGCATCACCTACTGCATCCCACAGGGGACACTGCATTCACATCGGAGGCAAGCGCTTCATAAAGCCACAGTCCCTAGGAAAAGAAGGATTAGGAATACTTCAGCTTCTGCACTTCTCCCCCCCCCCCCCCCCCCCCCCCCCCCCGCCCCCCCCCCGCCACC